CGTTTTACTTCATTATTTTAGATTCAGAACAACATTTTTACAAGCATTTAAAGGGTAGACACCGGTCAAGTTCATTTTTCTTGGTTTTTTTGACAGTATGATATTTTTCCTGTGGCGTGAATAACCTTAGGACATCTAATATTAAGACAGGTTTTTTGATAGATTACAAATTGGATATTTTTTTAAGAAACCCAAGCGTTAAGTCTTTTCTGTATTAAAACTTGAATTTTGCGCGTGTTTCATTATCATAAAGTAAGTCTAAACTATTAATACATGATTAATGATCACATTTTTTTCATTGATCGAATTTAGATTTTTATATTATGACATTGGTCAAGTCATGGATCTGAAAGTGATTGTTAGTGTCTATATACATTTTACTATAATACACCTATGTAGTTATTTACATGCATAACGTCTTAGTAAAGATTGTACCCGGTGATTCAATATTAATGTAGGATACCCAATATTTTAAGTTGTTTAAAATAATATTTTTCACAAAAAATGTATTTTATAAATCGAAATACTGAGAAAAATATTCTGCTTAGAAACATGAAATAAAACGTATATAATGTTGTCATTCAAAAGAGTAAGTAACTTATAAAATGTTAACAACAAAAAATAATAAAAACATAAAATTTCCAAAAAAGGTTGTTTGTAACGTCTTCAAAATTAAAATAAAAAAATTATGTAAATAAACATTTATGTTTTTTGAAATGATGAGTGTTTTACCAATGTAAGGTACTGAATCACTCCTTATTTATGAGTTTGTTTTATTTTGAAACTAATATGTGCATGTCGTTTCTATATAGGGTTTTTAATTTCTTATTCGTTTGCTGGTTTGACAATGTCTGTGGGATGTGCTTTATGCGTATATGTTGCAAGTTCTAAGTGAAGTATAATGCGTAGCTCGAATAACGTTTGAATATAGGAAACATTGAGTAAAAGCTCATTTTAATAACTTTCGCACATAATTTAATATGGCTTTATGCTGGAATGTAATTTACATCGTAATAACTTATATATTATACTTATACATAATAGATGTGTATATGTACGCTTTTTCCTAATTTTACTTTGTGGCCTAAATTAAAAAGTATTTGATTCAATTTTCAGAATACGTCAACGATCTAGTTACTAAAGTTATTATGAAAGTTACAAACATTTTTAGTTGATAATATATTGCTATAAAATAATTGGACATTTAAAAGTTAAGCTAATTGGATTTGACGAAAGTGTATAGGTATACGGGGAGATTCACCAAGCATGCTCAGTGCTCACCCTTCTTTTTCATTTAATAATGAATTTATTCAAATTTAGAGTTTTGGAATTCTTAAGTGGGTATATTATTACCTTATTTCCAAGTATTTAGATTTTTCATACCATTTATGTGTCCTGTGGTAATGTGACTTTATTTTTTTCAAATGAGGAGAACTTGGCCTACTAAGGAATGAGGATAATAGTTTCATGATTATAGCGGCTTCTATCATTTGAAAATTATAGTATTTAATATTAATTTAAATATCGAAATTTTATGTTTTGAACCTACTAAAGTTGTAATTTGATAAGTATCTAGATACTAGATAAATTAATATTAAGTACATATTTTGTTCTATTTTTTTTTAAAAAGAAAACCATCTTCGTTCTATTGTTTGTAGTATAAACATTTTAACAACACAGTAACAACTCGTAAGAGTTTTGATTCAAATACATCAACATTTTCAAAAAAATATTTTTATTTGTTTGAAAAAAACCTCCTTAAAGTGTTTCAAAATTAGTATTATAATTATGTAATAGTGTAATAAGTATTTAAAAACAAATTCCATAAGTAAAAATTAGAATTTGAATAAATCCATTGATAAAAAAATTTGGGGGGGGGCATGCTCGGTGAATTCCTCTATATATTTGCAATTAACCCAAATTCGGAAAAATTCGTTATACTCGTTATAGGTCAAGTAGTTGTTTTATAACCAATTTATAGTAGTGCAGTGCAGGTAATAAAATGTCTTGGAGCGTCAGACCTTGAAGTAAATAGTCTAATTAAACAGAAGGAAATCGCGAGAGATATCAAGATCTGAACGTATTTTGGTTAAACTTGGAAAGTTTCCAAAAACAAATTAAAGTTGATATTTAGTAGAAATTAAACGTTTTGAAATTTAAGATTTCCTGTATTTTTTTGGGGTTTTGCAGTAGCACTGTAGTGTATCATTATTATTATTATTAATATTATAGGCATACATACCTATTATATTATTTATTTAAAATTTGGAAATTTGTTTCTCGTGAATATTATATTATGTGTTCATGTACAGGTTTCGTGTCTGTTTGTGGAACCCGAATAGTTTTAATTGGGTTACATTTTATATTACATTTCAATACCTAGTTGAAACAATATAACCAGTTATCTCAAAATAGCACAATAATAAGAACATATTTTTTTTATTTCTATAATTTCAAAAATTGAATATGTGATAATTATAGTTGGGGTTAGGCAATTACGGGTAATTTATTTCTAGAACAATTTTTATCATTTGCGAATTTGTGATGTGATATTACTATTTTATTATTCTGATATTTGGGTTTGTGGTATAAGAATTGCATATTACTAATGGATATGATTGGAACGTATACTTTTAGAAAAATGTAATTGTTATTGGATTTTAAAAGAAAAATGATTTATAAATGTAATATAGAACTTCTTTTGTCTTAACAAATATTAAAATAATATCCAAAATTGTAAATGTTCATTAATTTTTACTACGAAATCATTGTTATAGAGTATAGACGTATACACACATATATAATAGATGTATTTATTATATGCATAAATCCAAAATATAGTTCGGTCATAAATAAATATTGTTTTTGCTAAAATGTTTTCATATTAATTCAATATACATACATATTCATAGCGATTGCTATAACTGCAATATAATTTTTACTTAAAAGGCGTATTTCACTATATCGGTTCCTTTGAATTGTACTTAGTAAACAAAAGCATTCAATGGCGTTTGGTATAATATAGAAGGATTGAATCCATTCCGTTTTATGGATTATTGTTTTTCGAGATTCTTTAAGTATATTGGAAAAATAAAACGGAGTTTCTACATTTTAAGACGGTAATAATGAACGATATACATCGATAAGATAAATTTACCACTCAGAAGATCCTATATGTTTAACACAGCATAATAATAATGTATAAAAATAACCATAAACAAGGTTAATGTAGACATTATTATGATTTTCCCGACGACTTGAATACAGAGCACGGTTGTGATATTTATGTACCTGAAACTAATGAAAAACGAATTCTCGGGACGTCAAAGCACAGAGCGATGGTAACTGTTTTAATGGAATGTATTGTTTCTAAAATATGGGATTTCGAGAAAGGAAAAGCACTTGTCTAAACAATACACACGACGTGGATAGGGCATGTTATTATAATATATTAATACCAAGATGGACCGAGTCCGCCATGATAGCCGGTAGTAGCACGATTTGAGTACCTACCCGTAGATAATGTATGTTTGTTACCTACATAATATTATTGAACCTTGACCGCCGCTGTACGAAACATCATCGAATCATGAAAAAAACTGTTCAAAACAAATAATTTTTACCATCATGTTACAGTCAGTGATAATTCTCAGACATTTTCACGTTTATTTAAATCACTGAGAACGAGCGTGAGCTTAATTTCTGGGGAAAACAAATTAAACAGACTTTTTAATGATGGCAGCTTGTATTACGACGGTACCGAGGTAACCCATGGGCCATGATATAATACGATATGATTTTCAATTTTATTATAATGTAGCACTTAAAAATATTCTATTCAGTATTTTAGCATCAATATTATATAGGTAGGTAAGAAAAACGATCAGATCGCTATCTGAATGCGACGAAAGACGACATTGCGTTATGTATTAGGATAGTTTTATAAATTTACATTATAAAATCAACATATTTGTATCTGATATTAGGTGTATACTTTTTATTCATATTTATTCTTCGAGAAATATATTATACTACCTAGATACTTTTGCAAGTTTGTTTTGTGACATTAGTCGTTATCATTTTTACTACTCAAAAAATTCAAAATAATTATGTAGAGCTTAAGACGAAATAATTATTATTCAATGTTTCATTAAAATGAAAAAATTAATAATGTAAAGGGCCTAAAAATGTGCTTATTTTACTAAATTTAATCTTCATAAGTTTCGATTTTCTTTATTTGTAAGGAGTTCGTTTTTTGACTTATCCTTTTTTACACGTGACCTAATTTCATACTATTTACGAGGTTCATTTTGTTTTATCATCAAACATTTGCACGTGACAATAATTTAAGTATCTAAAATATGAATTTTACTGTATCTTGGAAAATTTTATTTAAAAACACCACCATTTTGTTTGATACCTACACCTTTTTCAACAATTTAAAAAAAAATTATTTTAAGATTTTGGTATTAAAAATAGATTCTCATGGTACTTTAAATAGTGATAAATTTTAATTAAAATTTAAAACAGTTGAGGCAATATTCAAATATAGGAAATTCTGTTTTTTATACTCAACTGTAGGTAAAAATGTTTTTGTCTTTTTGAAAACTAATTTAATTAAAATTGATATTAATGAATTGCCCTCAATATTTTGTTATTATTTTCTTTTTAAAATATTATTACGATTTAAAGTTCATATTTTATTTAATTATGAAGAGAAAAAATTTAATTTATGACTTGTTAGGTGCATAATAATATTTTTAACTACTTGTATATTCCAAACGACAAAAGCAAATACGCAAACCGATACAGAAGAATTGTTAAGGTTAATTATTTTTTGATTACATTTTAATTTTCATTACATTATCTAGAAATCATAAACATTTAACTCTGAAATGTTTTCGTTATACTAACGAATTGGTTTTTTACCAATGAAATTTTTTAAGTGAATGTATGAAATTATTTAACACCGAATATTCTATTTTATACTCAAAAATTACCTGAGCATATAAAGTATATCTCCATCAGGTTTGATGCGTATCAACACGTTGGGCACGGTAACGAATTGGAATTCTGCGTGTTTTGCATTTGGAAAGTAAACTTCAGGTTTCCAGATGGCTTTGACTAAATTTGGATCATTTAGGTCCAGCGATTCCGTTATGTCTTTATGCTGCAATCTCGCATCTTGCCACTTTTGTCGCAAATACAGGTCAACTTCGTAATCCTGCGAATAAAATAATTAATTAACAGTTATTCAAGAAGGTATATAGATTATAGGTACTATACGAATACCCGTCATTAAATTGATATTCACGCTAAGCAAATGCTATTATATATTTTGTATGCACATAGTATAATAGTATATGTCTACAAGCATAGCTACCAAAGCTGAATTCATTTTCAAAGAAATTTTTTCTTTCGTTTGAAAAAAATGTATTGAAAAAATCATCATACGAACATACCAACACTTTACAGTGGGTATATTTTACTTGTAATCGTCTATTATCGAAATCGTAAAGAGTATACACGTGCTAAGACTGCAGTCTAACATAGCAACGACCAATGCTTCAAGTGGTGTATCTAGGATTTTTATTAAGACGGATGTCATCAAAATACATCCATTTATAATGAATAATAACGTAAGTATAATATACATGTTACTGCGAATTTCTGCAATTGGTGAGTGCTGACAGTCACCGGTTAATGTCGTCATACACCAAAGCCATTGGTAAATGTTGGCATATTGATTTAATTTGTACTGTTTGTAAACATTTTCTAGCGAATGTCGACACATTTATATACCGATATTGGTGAATGTTGGTACCTAAAGCTGATATTATTTAATCTCATCACATCTAATATTATAGTACCTACCTATTAACTAATATACAAGGTATTGTACAAGTTGATAATTTCGATGTAATCGATAATCATTTTTGTATGGCAACATAATCATAATTTAAATTAACAATACAGGTATAATATTGTTCAATAATAATAATTATAATTTATAATTAATAAAAGTGATTGTTAATATTTATAATTAAACATGTCATTTATATTTGATATTATTGTCTTTAGAACTATACTAAATATTATGTGCGAATACGTAACCTATGTCAACATTTATCAAAACCGTGTTGTGTATGTCAACCCTGACCAAAATCCTAATGTAAATGTCAAAATCCACAAGTACATGTCTATATTATTTTATTTTTCAACATTCACCAATTTAGTAGGCGATTTTCAGCACTCAACAATTGTGTATATTCACAGTAACAAATATATTATGTGAATATTATTATTATTTTTATTTTGGATAAACAATCTATACATATGATGAAAAATAAACTTATATCCTAAGGGTGGGGTTTGAAATGAAAGGGTTGATTAAGCAGTCACCCATTAGCGTCACTTATAATAATTCATTTTATTATTATTATTTAATTTTGAAATCGATTATTAGGGATATGGGCTATATTTGTAGTAGGTCACGACATCACTTTGTTTTTAACCTACGTTGAGGATTCCGAGGTGGTGTTGGGATGAAAAGATCCTTTATAAGGAAATTGGAGTCATTTTAGAGTCGCTTGTTAAAATGCGTCTAAAAGAGGCGTGCTTCCCGTTACTATAAATAAATTAAAATGAAGTTAAGGTTATAATAACAAAATAAGATCTAATAAAAACGGTCGGTCAATGGTAAAATATGAAATATTTTTATATACATAGCAAGTGTGTTAACAAGGTCATATCTCCCAAACACATTCCTCTGCTTGTACCCTCCACTAAATGCCTCTCTTTTTATATAAGTATTAAGGTATCTTTTTTTATTTTGACAAAACATTAATGATTGTTATCTGACTATATGTTATCAACACGATCGTGCTGCAGATGCATGTGAAAAAGTAGGGCTATGTAAATGCTTGTTTTTTTATTATCACATACGTACTTTAATGTTTTCGAAAAAAACAACAATAATAGTACTCGTCCCCTATGATTTTCACTATTATTTAAAGGTGTTGGAAGTGTGACACTTGTACTCAGATGATAAATATATATATATTATGTATGAAAAATAAAATACCACTAGAGTGAAGTATTATTATTACTTATTTTCTCTGTCAACATCGATTCTCCATTTCACACACGCGCGTATTTGATTTTTCTCATTTTTCATTTTAAACGTGTACAGCACATATACGTAAGCATTATATTAATACTAGCGTATTTTTCAAGATGCGAGATGAGCCCATAGAGTTGTGTACGAACAAAAATGTGTCACTTCTTCCGTTAAAAATGATTTTATTACGCAGACGACAATCCACACTTCAAGAGAATAAAAATTATATTTTATTGGATGTATTACGGAGTATACGTATTATAGTTTTAATGAAAAAACACCCCAGTTTGTTGTTTTCGTACAAGCAGTACCTAGATATTATCCCCTTGACACTAGAGTGGTATTTTTATATCACCATGTCGCCGATGCCAACGTTAATTAATATGGAATGCGATCTTAGTTATGAGGAGATAATTTGACGCAATGTAATAACAGAAATACATTTAATGTGTATTGCCATTTCTTCTTTTGTTTGTTAATTTTAATAGAACCTAGTAGTTACTGATTCTTCGAATACCATTAAACACCGGGAAAAAAGTTTTATTAGCCACCTTGAAAAAACTTAGTTATTAATTCGATAAAATCAAATAAAAAACTTTCGCGTATTCGGATGTTCGCCAGCCAGAAGAACTTTTTTTGAGGATTCCCAAGTGGCGTTGATGTATGTACTATTTGTATTATTCATATACATGTGTTGACTGTTGGTAGGTACAACGTTCGAGAAGGAATTTGTACTGTGGTAATTTGGTGTTTCGAAATATTATAAATGAAATTAGTTAATTTTACTGTAGTAAAATAAAATACTGATTTTACAAGATTTTTGTTCAGTTTTTTTTTTACATGTTTTATGAGAAACATATTATAATAGGTTTAAGTGCAAAATATATGTGTAATAATTTATTTTTAACCGCTTCAGAGTCAAAAATTAAACTTGACCTCGATATTGTGTATTTTTAAGATTAATTTATTACAGTAGGTAACGAAATAAATTAAATTTTTTTTTTTTTTTTTGGAAGAATAAATATATTATAAAAACAATGTCCATAGCCTTAATAACATATTTGAAAAACTGCAATGCTGCAGATACAGTATCTAAAATATTCATAACTAGGAAAATCAATTAATCAGAGTAAATATTTTTGAAAATTTTAAACATACGAGAATTAATGTATTAGTTTTTTATTTAGGACTTGACCACTTATGTGAGTTTTTAATGTACTACTGAACGTTGATAGTACTATTTATATTATTATTATTTAATTGTGCATGGAAAAATAATTTTAAAACGTGCTTTTACCATCTTTGATATAAACTAAGCACTAAGCTTTCTCGCGTACGATTTGGCAAACTTACTATTTTACCTCAGTGACTACTATAAACTTTGAAAACGTATGTCAGCGGGCATATGTAAAACACACAACCGTAACACAAATACGGAAATTTTTCAAAAATATACTAATATATATTTCTTTCTATATAGCTGCTTAGAAATGTGGATCACTAGTCTTAAATTTGAATTTCATCGTATAATCTAACAGCCTGAATGAAAATACGGGTAAAGGTTCAATATTTGATGTTTAAAGTTCTCGTGGGACCACTTTTTTGTATCGTTCAAAAAATCAAAGTGTGTAGTGCCTACACCTAACATCTACTTATATCATTTTCCGGATTCTTTTTGAAAAACAAAAAAATACATCTATCGTTTAGATGTTTACACTATTTCGAATCATATATTATAGATTCTTCTTCTCTCCGTGTCTAGTGCTAGATTAATTGTATTAATTAACTGCATATCAGCTATACATAGATACGATATCAAATATAAATATCGATGCCAATAAAGAAAGTATAACAAAAATAATGTGATAGGTTATAACTCATAGATATTATAAGCACCTAATAGTTAAGCATAATAAATAACGTAAACACAATTGTGCAATGGTCAAACCCCGTGTATGAGCCAGTAGGATGCTACATTTATTGGTCGGACATTAGCTAGGTATAGCTGCATAAGAATCACAGCTAAACTGTACACATTTTTTTTTATTCTTCTAGGTTATTAAATATTTGCGTTAAAAATGTACCAGGAAATATCCACAATTTTTTGAATTTCAAATGATTCAAGTTAAAATATTAATAGATTTAACAATATCTACGAACATGCATGTAATGGATATTTATGAATATAAACAATATAATATGTATTTTGGAATTTATTTAATAAGAACTACTGTTTATAAATTGAATCTACCTTGGTTTGAATGTAATATGACCACGATTAAGTCACATATTTATTTACTATTAATTTTGAAGGTTATGTATATTAGTTATATATACTATAAATGTCATAGCTAGTACCTATTCGTATACACTATAATTTATGATGGATGGATAAAGGGACACTGTAACGTTGACAACAAAGTAGAGACTACGTGATAGCACCTCAATTTGTATATTGGTTTTATTTTAATAAACTCAAATTTAGAGTTAATATAACATTTAGTTATTATTTATACTTATATTTTAGTAGTCTTTGTATGTCTTTGTAGAATTAGTTCAAATATTTAAATAATTGTGTATACAAAAAATTGTTGTGTATGGAATAAACAGTAAATACGATTTGAATAATATCGTATCAATAAAATATTTATGTTTGTTTCATGTTATGAATTGTATATAGTAACATACTATACACTGTAAATATTATAGGGTAAAAATATAGCTACGACTATGTTTATATTTTGTTAATATTATTAAGCATATTTTGATAGAACAATATTTCGAAAATAAAATAATAAACACTACAGAATTTTAATGTAATTTATTTCTCAAATAGGTTGTAAAAAAACACATGGTTTTAAAATGAATTGTTTACATCTATTATTTTTTGGCTGTAATTTTATGGCTATATCATGTTATTTATGCATTGGTTTAGGACCAATGAATAATGTGTAGACTGTAGGAAAATAAAAACTATGAACAATGTTTCTGAATATCGAAAAATTGAATGATGAATGATTTGTTAATCACAACAATATTAGAGTACATTTATTCAGTGATAAGCTCTTACCTTTCAAATTATTTCAACATGCCTTGTCAGTTTG